ACTAATGTGTGAGGCTTGCTGGTATGAATTCAATTTGCTGGAACTGAATGCATTTCTTCTGTTTATTAGAAGCATATTCCCATATCCTTCTGATCTCTGAAAGAAGTAATTTATATGAGCTAAAGAAAATGTAACAATTCTGTGTGAGATGCTTGAAAGCTGTTGATTTCCTTTCCTTGTCTGCTTTTCTTTGTCATTGCTTTGATTTTTATAAATAACGATTTAAAGAAGATGTGGAATTACAATGCATAAACCTCAGGCAAAAGGTGTGTGTTTCTCTCTCACGTCTTTTCAGTAGTTAATTCTAAAATGAAGTAACTACAATAACTATACGTGGAATTAAATTATAAGTGATACAACACCGTGGGGCATTTCTTGACATTTGTTTGTCCTCCTGCTACATGTATATCCAGTTTGTTTACAGTGAGGAACTAACGTCTTAAAGGATTCTCTAAGCTGTACGGTGTATGCCTTTTTTTTTCTTTATTGAGAATCGTTTTACTTACACCGTCACTTGGAGTTTTTATGAAATACCATTCCGTTTAGTATGTTCATTGATCAGTGGATTGTTTTTTTGGTTTTGTGTTGAGTTTTTTCCAAACCATTGAGTTGTCTTTTGTTTTTCCAGTATTGCTGGCTTCTCATTATAAATTCTGTGTCTTACGCAGAAAACTGTTTTTTTGGAATGCTAAGGACACTTCTACCGAGTATCATTAAGCTTTCCAACATTTTGACTATCAACACTTTCAGTTAGTTTTCATTATACAACTATGTCAGTACAAAAGTTGTATTTACTCTTTTATCAACATGACCTCACTTACTTGTGAGTCTTTCTCAAAGTTAAGGTTTTAAATACGAGTTTAAGGCTTTTAGTATCCAACCCAGCACTGAAAGTGCATGAACATGTGTAAAGTAGTCTTGTGTATCGGACAGGAGCAGCAGAGTGCAAGGGCTTGTTTGAGTAAAGTTACACGGTGTTGTTGATCAGTCGTGACATGGCCCTGAAAATAATTTTTTTCATGGTTTTCTGTTAAATAAAAAGTTCCTTTAGCTTTTTAGCGTGCTTTCATTTTCTTTTTCAGAGGCCAGGCTGTTGTTCTGATTGCCAACTCTATCATCACTTAAATTTGAAATATCATAGTGCTGAGCGAGTGAATCTTTTCAAGGATAGAATGACTAAAAAGAAAATCTCGTACAATTTTGCTTTTCATCTTGACATTGCAACAGAATTTGTCTTTTATGTTTTCTCATGTGTCTTTGTGATATTTTGCAGTCTTTTAAAACAAACACAACAAAATACCGGGTACCAACTCTGAATTTAGAAATACACTCCTCTTACAATAGTAAATAACTCTCTAGTTACATTCCTGGTAATTCAAAACAGACTAGTGCTGGTTTTTGTTGTACTGTCACTCTCCTCTGAATTTCTCATCTAAAGCTTCTGCTTAACAATAGAACTGTAGAATTTCTCTTTTTATGAAAAAATCTTCGCTGATCATATGCAGATTTGTCCTGTGGCGAGTGCCTGTTTGGTATTTAGTTGTCTCTTGAATTACCGAAATTTCTTTCTCCAAGGCCTGTGCAGCAGATCCCGAGAAGCATCAGGTTTATTGAGAGTAAAGGGAAGGAGATTATTTTGTCATCTCTACATTCATATCAACATGATTTTGAAGTGGTAGCTCTCAGTTTTCTACACGTCTATTTCCACAGAATACTGTAGATGTGAAAAACAAGCAAAGTGCTTTTCCTCCTGTATGCACACTGCGATCAGATTTGTGATTATTATAGCTTGTGTAGACATACTTGTGCTAGCTTTAATCTCACTAGTTCACGTACCAGCAGTAGCAAAGCTGTGGTAACATAGTCCTCGGTTAAGGGTATGCCGGCTCATTTTGTTGTACTTTGGATGCTTACTCAAATTAATTGCATACAGTGGCGTCCATAGTTCTGTATTTTAACTGTTTTGTTATATGAGGCTAACAAAATTAAGTGTAATTGAAGTATATGTAAGGTACTGCAGTCATATCTCCTAATTGCAGTGCAGATGCAGCCTGTAAGGCAGTGAGCCCTACTCTCTCACTCTTCTGAGAGACAATTAGAAAGGTCTGCCCTAGTTTGATAGTTTTAGGATGACCTTTTATCAGAAATTTGCAGGAACCTGCAAGTGCACAAGCACACTACATGTAAATGAAATACTAAACAGCTAAATTTAGCCAAGGAAGCATAAAAAAGCATAAAAGCATAAAAACTTGCTCCTGCAGTCCAAACCTTTGTGGAGTCCTAGTCATCATCACTGTCAATTCATCACCGCTCTGGTGTATTTTATGTACAAGCATTCATCCTGCAATCAGATCCTTAATGAAGGAATTCTCCTTTCTCAGCATGTGTTACTCCTATTAAAAAATCAACACACTAATCCTTGGCTAAACAGAACGGGGAATGTGTTTGCAAAAAAACAGGTAAAAACAGACTTGGTGAGTAATACAGCATTTGTCTGATATTGGTCTGGTAAGCCAGTAGAAAGGTAAATACACTTACGGGAAAGGACTTCTCTGTGTAGCTCATTGCTAAAATCTCCCTGTAGGAAACATGCTAAAAAGATGGAGCCTGCTATTTACATAACAGGGAGCATTTGTTAGCGGTGCACAGGAACGGGTGGCTTGTCAGGATATTGGCATCTGGCACACGCTGCTCTTATTGTGAGGTAGTTCTGTAAATTCATTAAACTCAAGTTTCTTTTAGGTGTTTTAAGAATAGCAACAATTAACACGATACAGAGATACCAGTGCAGAATTGAATGCCAACAGCAATTCAAAAGGCCATGTACACACTGTTCACTCAGGATAGCAATTCTTTTTGTTGGACATTTTTGCAAAAGCTGCAGATGATTTTCAGTAAAAGTGGAAGGAAGCTGAGGAAGCAAGTGATTCTTTTACTCCAAATCCTGTTTAGGAGCAAAATGCTGAATTATTTTAGGTCTTTGACCTGGGCAAATATATTTCTTTTCATTTTGATCCTCCTTTTGTGTTTGAGGATTTTGGATTACTCTTTGTGTAGTGCTTTTATGTTTTCAGAAGTGATGTAAAGTTTATGTGAAGAAGCTGGTGTGCAAGAAGGTAGCATGTCAGTTTGAGTACTACAGCCATTCTGCCCAGACTTTGATGCGGATGTGGTTTGTGTACACAGAGAGCTCAAAGTCAATAATTAGACTGGATCTAAAGGACAGATGCCATCGAGGGAAAAATTCTGGCTGTGTATTCCCACTGTTAACCCCCAGTGGGCTCGTTCAGTGAGCTAACTCAGAAGAAAACTTTTCCATGTAAGGAACCTGGTGGCAGCTAGCTATTAAATCAGATTAGAAGTGGTGTGAAATTATAGCTTGGGGCTGTAGTGTGACATGTGTTTAATCTAGCAAGGCCAGTTTAAACACAATCCCTAGATATCATATCCTCTCAGTTCTCCTTTCTGCTTCCTCCTTTGCCCTCAGTTGTCCGCCCCCCCACGTGTTAGCTCTCATTCTCAGGGCAGAGGAAAGCAAAACAACAAAGCCAAAGCAGCTTTTTTTTTTTTCTTTCTTTTTTTGCCTTTTGTTTTTTTTTACTGTGCTAGGATACCTGTTACAGTTTCTGATTCACACAAATCCACCTTGACACAGCACAGGGAGTAACACAGTGGTGGGGACAGATGCAGGGGAGTTGTGGGAAGCTGGGGCTCCCTCCACCCCCAAAGTGTTGGGCTAAAGACTTTCCCAGGACTGCCTTCCCGTGAAGCAGTTTTCCCCATAGCATATTTTGCATCCAGTTGGGGTATCGGTGCACTTGCTTCTCCACACGTATTTCCCTTTGTGGGGCAGTTTAGTCACTTCTTAAAAATGCACAGCATTACTCTAAATTTTACCCTTTGGCTTGTTTTCAGGAGATGCTTTGGTAAATGCTGGGAGGTAGAGAAGTTCCTAAGCAGGTAATGCACTTCCCAGCTAGTACTGCAGCTGCTGTGCCTACAAGATGGGACTATCAGAAATCAAATAAGCAAGTTTTGTGCCTTGCTTTTGCTGAGAGTAAGGAAGTAGGTGCCTGACTTGCTCAGGAGTTACTATACATCCCACTGGTTGCACCTGACCTGTAAATGTTTAAGCCAAGCCATTCACATCAGGCTGCTGTTCTACTCAAATGTCCATTTAGCAAATGTACGCTTTTTGGCAGTGTTGTCTGCCTCCACCCCGCGAGATACTGCTGTACATAGGTGAGCACTGAGCATGTGAGTGTTGAAATATGGATGTGGGGAGTCCTTTCATGGCATACTTTACCGTGTATTTTCAAGATACAAGTAATGATTTCTAAGTGCTATTCATGGAGTATTTCGTTTTGAAGCTTAAAGTGATTTTTTCTTCCTGTTCTCTGGAAAAGGAGATACAGTTTTTCTTTATCAGAAATTATGCTTTGAAATTATCCGTTTATCTACAGGTGATCTGTTTTGACATTTAAGTAACAGATCAGTTCCAGGCAACTAGTTTGCAAAAAATAAAATCTTTCCTTTAAGGTTTTAATTTTAATCCATGTGTATGGATTTAATATATCCATATTTATAATCCATGTATCTGGAAAAGGAGATACAGTTTTTCTTTATCAGAAATTATGCTTTGAAATTATCCGTTTATCTACAGGTGATCTGTTTTGACATTTAAGTAACAGATCAGTTCCAGGCAACTAGTTTGCAAAAAATAAAATCTTTCCTTTAAGGTTTTAATTTTAATCCATGTGTATGGATTTAATATATCCATATTTATAATCCATGTATATATG